AGTGATAAAGTATTTGTACTTGTGAGGGATGGGTAGACAAGTGTTAGGTGAGATTTTCATACTAAGTGACTTTTGACACTTGCATAGGATGAAGATCTATCCACATATACATCATTGAGGCTGTTTGGTGTGGAACATTTTGAATGACCAGATTGGGATAATTTACATAGCAGTAAACTCCACTAACTCAAGTGAATGTCAGTGTTTTGTTTTTAATGAAAAATTCTAACTGAGCTCAAGTACTTTGTTTCTATTGTGTAGACAAATCACAGACACTTGGAGGAGGTCAGAGTAGGGAGCTTTATGGTCTCATGCAAGTTATGATGCATGCGGAACTAGAGTCAAACAGTCCTCAGTCGTTAACTTCTGGTTCTTCTGTAGTTTGAGACTAGAAAGAGGAGAGAAAGGGATGGAAAAGGAGGTCTTGGAAAGATTACTACTGTCTTAACTTTCCAACTATTAGAACTAGAAGTCTGTTTCTCTCCACAGATGAGAAATGAACTTACTTCTTCACAGAGCAGATTCTATAGAGTCTGTCAATAAACTATAGAAATTGGACTTGGAACCAAGATAAAGTAATATTTACCTGTATGATTGCTTATAATTCTTTATTTCTATGAGATTGCTCACCTAGTTATTAGAGATTTCTGCCCTGCTGATTTATTTGATAAATGGAATAATTAAATCATAATTACTCATCCATGAATTCCTAAATTACAAGTAACTGGATGTTTTAATACCATTAATATGGAATAATGCCAGGGGCTCAAAATAATACCAGAGACTCAAAGATAACATTTGATGTTATTTTAAAATGGCTATGCATTTATTATTTAATTTGATTTTACAATCATCTCCATTTAATGCCTGAAAAATCCAAGATAGAAAAAGATTTCGTGACTCTCTAAAGACCACATGGCCACTAACAGGCAGAGCCAAAATTAGAACTTGGGTTTCTAGACTCACAGTGCATTTGTTGTGTTCTACCTTACTCTCAGTGTATAAGAATTAAAATTAGTTACATTTCTTTAAGATAGTTTTTAGGCTTAGCAGTTGTACATTTCCTATTAAATATATAATTTGTCTTAGTTGGCCCACTAATTTCATTTTCTTTAAAGTTTTAAAAACTTGTTATTGTGCAAGTACTACATAGAAATAGAAATAAGAATAGAAAAATGAGGAAATAAAAACATAAAAAATATAAAAATGAAAATTAAAAATCATCCAACCATATAGTATCAAGTACAGGTTCATATCCTAGGTGTTCTTCTGGGCGCATATATATATATGTGTATGTGTATACATATGGTCTGCTTTTTTTTAACAGTATGTCATGAATATATCTTTGTATTAATACAACATTTACAACTTAAATTTCAATAACAGCATTACTGTTTCATTTTGTGGATGTCTTATATATTCCATCCCCAGTTGGATGTTTTAGGTTATCTTCAGATTTTTTGTATTATGTGTAACAGCCTTGTTACATAATGTCTTTTATGTACTTTCCTAAGGATAATTTCTTAGAAGTGGAATTGTTGGATCAGTGGGTTTACGACTTTTTAAGATTTTGATATATATTACCAAGAATTGCAAAGATTATACCAGCTTATCCTAGGGCATTAGTAGTGCATGAGTGTGCTGAATCCTGATGCTTTTGCCAGCATTGGGTATTTTTCCTGTTTTATAATCTTTCCCAATTGAAAGTCAGTAAGTAGTATCTCATCGCTTTTAGATAGCTTTGATTATTAGGGAGTTGAACATCTTTTCACATGTTTACTGACCATTTGTTATTTCTTGTTCTGCCAGTTCAGGTCCTTGGCCCCTTTTTTTCTTTTGCTGGAGTACTACCTTGTTCTTAGTGATATCCTTTTTTGTTAGGTTTTTTTTTTTTGAGAGGTGGTAATTAGGTTTTTATTTATTTATTCATCTTTAATGGAAGTACTGGGGATTGTACCCAGGACCTTGTGCATGCTGGGCAGGCACTCTACCACTGAACTATATACCCTTCCCTCTTAGTGATTTCTAAGAACTCTTTATGTATCAAGTATAATAAACCTATTTTGACATATAAGTTGTAAAATTTTCCCAGATTTTTGTCATTTAATTGTATGATTTTTGTGTTAAGTAGATGTTTACTCAGCTCTTTTTCCTCAATCCCCACCCTGCCTCCTTTAGAAACTTTTAGAACCTTTTAGCACTCCATATTCATAAAAAAGAATTCACTTTTATTTCCCTTAATCCTTTAAGTACCTTTAATGTTTAATCTGTTTGAAACTTATTTTGGTATATATGAAATAATATAAAATATATATTTTGGTCTTTGCCCTCAGTTTCTGGCACAAAGTTCCTAAAATCCTTGCCCAAGTAATAAGAACATAAGGAAAATCTTTTGTTCTAATATTTGGTCTGATATCTCTTTAACATAAAGGCCCTAAATCCCTTGGAATTTTCTGGGTAATAGAAGTATCTTTTGTTCTAATGAGACCACTCTTTCTTTGCTCCTGGATGGGGACTGGTCACCAGAAAGACCAAGTCATGACTAGAAGCTTGGAATTTTCACCCCCACCACCCCTATTCTCCAGAGAGGGGAGAGGGGCTGGATGTGGAATTAATAATTGATCATGCATATGTGATGAAGCCTCCATAAAAATCCCAGCAGTACGGGGTTCAGAGAGCTCCCCGGCTGCCAAACACGTGGAGGTGCTGGGAGAGTGACACACTCAGAGAGGGCATGGAAGCTCCACGACCCTTCCCACATACCTCGCCCTGTGCATCTCCTCCCTCTGGATGTTCATTTGTATCCTTTACCATGTCCTTTTATAATAAAGTGGTAAATAGTAAGCTGTTTTCCTGAGTTCTGTGAGCTGCTCTAGCAAATTAATTGAACTCAAGGAAGGGATGTGGGATTCTTTGATTTATAGCCAATTAGTCAGAAATACAGGTAACAACCTAGATGTGCAATTAGTATCTGAAGTGGGGGAAGTCTTGCAGGACTGAGTACTTAACCAGTGGAATGTGACACTATCCCCAGGTAGATAGTATCGGAATTGAGTTAAACTGTAGGATGCTCAACTGGTGTCGCAGAATTGCCTGGTGTGGGAAAACCCCTCACGTATTTATGTCAGACATGTTGTGAGTGTGTGTGAGAGTAAAGAAGAAACAGAAGTGTAGCTCTTCATCCGAGGTGAGGTCCTTTTATTCTTATTTTCCAAATACTTAACCAAATATTCCAGCATGAGGGGTGTTTCTTTCTTCACTGAATTGAAATACATCATCATCACACACTAAATATCTAAGTAAACTTGACTCTATTTCTGGTCTTTCTATTCTGTTAATCTTCCTGTTGGGCTTGTCTAGTTACCTCACTGTTCTAATTATTGTGATTTTGTAGAGCGTTACTACTAGGCAGTTTATTCATTTTTACCTTTAGCCTAGGTAAATGATCAATAATGAGACATACATGACCTCTGCCTAGATTTGAGTTTCGTAACTGGCTCCCATGTTGGAGAGTTGATCATCTGGGATATCCTGGACTGGACTGTGCAGGCCTGTGAACGCAACTTCTGGGACCCATCTCCACAGCTGGACACTCAGCAAGAAATAAAACTCTGTCAAAAACCAAATGACGTTTCCATTCATCATTTCACATGGGATGAAGAGGTAAAAAAAAAAAAATCAAGAAAAATATATCATCTGTCTCTTTCAATAAACCCAGTTTCTAATTTTTTCAATTTAATCTCACGATGGATATAGAAAGGTATCATTCCCTATGTTCAAGTTGTGCTTTAAAATGTTTTGGTATTTTTTAAAGATTATATCACTTGCTTTATTCTCTAGTTGTGTTTATAATTTCCTTTATAACTTTGGATAGCATGTACTCTACCACTGAACTGTACCCTCCCCCTCTGCCAGGGCTCTAGATTTTAGCAGGTTGGCTAGCTGTTCTCATTAATGCTCATGGCACTGGTCCTCAGCTTGCATTGCTAATGTGCAGAGTACCATTTCTGAGGGTCAAGGGGATCATTCCAGATTTAGGCTCTGGTAAGCCTTGGGGGCATGTTTTGGTTGAGACATTGTAGGTCTCATTTGGGGTTGTAGCCTTTGAGACCGCATAAGTGTTCTTTGGTGCGGGGCAGAAAGGGGGATTTTTGAAAGGTCTGCCTCACTGGTTTACCTATTAAGAATGAATGATTCAAAAGCAAGAGCTGCCAGAATTCTAAGGACTTGCAAAATAATTTCAGAAGCTAAGTGGTATCGTGTGAGACAAGATTAAGGAACTGGAGTAACATGACCTGGATTCTCATATCAACTCTCATCTCAACTTTTTGTGTGACTTTAATCTTTTTTTTCAATTTTAATTTGTTCATCTGGAAAATAGCAGTAATATTAGCTTTTCTTATCTTAATGAGATGTTGTGAGACTGAAGTTTGATAAATATTGGTGAAAGTACTTTCAAAGGGTTAAAGTTGTTTTAGTAACAAGGTGGTTCTAATACTACATTTGGAAAAATGTTTGTGTGAAGCCACTTTACATATATATATATATATATATATATATATATATATATATGTCACTGTAGCATATGCTTTTTTGTATGTATCCTTTATAGGTCTCATGATTGCTTAAGATGTGGAGTGGAAGTAATTTTGTTCACATTTTTCAGCAAAAGAAGCCAAGTAGTTTTCCTAAGGATCTAGTATTATGTGAATGAAAACCTTGGTTGTGCCTCAGCAGCTTGTGTTGCAGGCTGATCTGCCAGCCATAGCTCCTTTCTCTAGCTGGCACATTTCAGTGAGGCAGAAAGTGATGCTAAGGGGTACAGTGTACAGAGCTTTCTCTGTGTTAGCAGTTGCATCCTTCTGCTTTTCTGAATGCTGTCACCTTTCCTTTGTGCTTTGATACTTTTGGACTTCAGAGGACAGCACAATAATTTGGTCTGAAGGTTAGGAATAGGGAAGGTACCAGTGGCTCTCTGAATTCACACCAGGGCTAGAAATCTATAATACTAGGTAGTGGTAAGTACTAGTTTTATGCCCATTTCTGAACTTCTTCCCCCCTCCCCTAGAATATATTTGTTGCAGTTGGAAGGGGTTTGTACGTGTATAACCTTCAAATGAAGCGTGTGATTGCCTGCCAGAAAACCGCACATGACTCCAGTGTCTTGCATGTTGCCAAACTTCCAAACAGGTACGAGTTTCCATATGTTCTGTAACAGGCAAAAGAAATGCATAGTTCCCAGGGGCAAAGTCACCTGGTTCTGTGGCTTGACCTGTGTTCTATTGGAAATGAGAATATCCCCAAGGCTGTCTCTTAGTAGAAGAGTTTGTAGCAGTGTATTACAAAATTTATAAGAAGCAAGATTCATATGAATTACATTGAATTTTGTTATAAGAAGAGATAATTTAAAATTTGGTGTTTATTTTAAAAGGTAAAAATGACTTTTGGGCACTGACTTTGTACTAATTTTTTGTTTTCCATAAACCTGCCTTTTAAAATACTGTTTGATTATGGCCAGCATCAAATGGTTTTGTCTCCTTGTTGGCTTAAGCTACTAACTTAAGGCTTCCCTTTCAGGGAAGATCTGGCTGTTGAGTTTCTAGGGATGAATTATATGAAGGGAATAGCATTATTTGCTCTGCAGGATACTTTTCGAGTGAGAGGTGCCCTGAGAAGAGAAATAGTGAGAGGTGGGGAGGGGACTTCTCGGGGTATTGTGAAAGTGTAATTCATAACCTGTTTCCCTGAATGCATTTTAAAAATGGAAATGATATGTATTTCTAACACTTGAACCAATATAACAGTATAATGTTCGCCTTTCCCGAAGAGTGCTTTTACTTTGCATTGTAAAACCATGTTAAATTGTGATTTTTATCAGCTCCTGCCAAGAGCTGAATAAAAGCAGTTGAGGGTTCCACTGACTTCTTTCACTGCAAATTTAGCATTGGCTCTCCATGGTGCTTTTTATCACTGATTTGCTCTTCTGATAGGCAGTTAATCTCATGCTCAGAAGATGGCAGTGTACGCATTTGGGAGTTACGAGAAAAACAGCAGCTTGCGGCTGAACCTGTACCAACAGGTGTGTATCTTTGCTCAGAAAGGTAGTCTTGCACTTTTTTCTAAAATGAAAGACAGAAGAAAGGCAGTTATGTGTAACCGCAAGAATAACGTACACTGTGCTCCAAGTAGGCATAAGATGTTCACATGAAGCATTTGGTGATTGGGATCTAGGATTGACATCTTAATACTGCTTTACTGTAGAACTATCTGTTTCAATTCAAGTCAACTACGATTTTACTATTTTAGGGGGAACCTATTATTTCTGGTAATCTGACTGACCAAATGGCCTAATGAACTATTTAC